TATTGTTTCTCTGCATAAAAGACATGTGACAATTAACCCTGGGTATGGGGCAGGTTGACAAATCTGCGCGATTGTACTTAACATTAAAATACTATTTTGTGTAAAGATATATAAGAATAATATTTGTTTTTTCTTAAAGCTAAAGGATGTGACTATTATATAATGTACCTAATATTGCATAATATTGCGTACATTTTTTTTTTTTTTACAATCTATTTTGGATGTTACTTTGTGCCCCGGTTTCCCCTACATTACAAACCGACATAGCAACGTCGCGAACTCTCGATAATTTTTGTTTTTTTTAAGCATAAATAGTCATTTCTGTCAGAGAGTTTAATTCTTTGGTTCAACTTTCGACTTGTTATAAATAAAGTTGCACTACTGAGATAAACACGCTGTGCACGCTTAAGTTATCACTGGAAACATCTGCGTGAAATTTTTGACATTGCTCGCGACGTTGAAAAGAAAATTCCGAGAAGTCCGCATTATTCTTTCTCACCGAGAAAGCTATTTCATAAAGCTACTTCGCTGAAACTGTCTTTTTTTTCTGAGTTTGAATCGTCAAATTGTCACTAATTTTGATTTAAAAAAAATTCCGATATTGTGGTATATAAATTGTATGAATTTGAAAAATTTAAATTTTTGTTTAACCCTCGGAGAACACACCGGGTCAATTTGACCCTGTTCGTCGACTTTGATCAAAATATTTTGCTTCAATTTTGCTTTTTTGTAACATATTTTTTTACAACGTTAATAATGTTAACGACACTTTAAAAACTATATAGGCGTATTCCAAACTGTTCAAAATATATATCCTAAAATTTTTTCAAGCCAATCGGATAAGTGCATTTTAAATGGTAGCATCTCAAAAAGTGGACAAGGTCAAATTGACCCAGATTGTTCTTCTTGATTGAAAAAATAAGTGTGTTCCCCGAGGGTTAATAAAGATTCTAGGTTCGACTCCTGGCTGAGGAGTTCTTTTCGCAATATTTTAAATTAATTTGGGGGGATATTCGGGGGGTTCTTCACATACGAGATGCAAGTTGAGCATCCTATATGATTATTAGAATTGTAATTACAATTCAAAAAAACTCACGTGAAAAAAACGTGAATTTGATTATATATGTGTACACACACGCACATATATATATATATATATATATAGACATATTTTCCGCATAACATCCAGCGAACGGCTCTCAATGACTTATCATTCATTTATTAGTTAAATTTGTTTAAATTTTAAATCAATAAATCTCTCGTTTTGTATCTTCTCATAGACGTCTGTTATATAAGTTTTGTGGTGTAAAAGATTCGACGTACATACATTTGTCTCCTCGCAAAACAATTAATCATGTCTCTCTCATATATTGAAAATATATTTACGCGTCTTCGAGACCTGTGTATAATTTAAAAAAAAAAAAAAAAAAAACGGTTGATTTTTTTTCACGCAGTCGATTTCAAACAATAGTTTGCAAACTCGCCGCCGAAGCAGAACGTAGTCTCGCTGAAAGATCCTAATCTCTCAAAAAGCACAAATTCGCGTGAGTGGTAATTTCCGGACTCTAAACTATGTGTAATTGTTATAATTGTTTTCCTTTTTTCTTGCACGCAATTGTCCGACAAAGTGTCAAGACAAGCAAAACTAACGTTATATTTCTTTTTTTTTTTTATCGTTAATTTCTCCCGCAACAGAAATTTTTATTGAATATCCGCGCGCGCGTTCATAGCAATTCCCAACTTGACTTTCGTAATTGGCGTTGAATTAATATTCGTTGCGAGCACACAGACGCGGTTTAAATGTTTCGAAAACGCGCTTAACGGTTATAAACATATACACGCCCTTTCACAAAAGAGGAGAAAGCGGGGATGGTTGCAAGCGCTTCGCAAATTGTATCGATCGCATCGTATTTACCGAATGAGTTTTACGAATTACATCGCGACACGTTTGATTTGCACATTTCGATACGCTGTGCTTTCCCACCCACGATGGATACGTTGCGTTGCTTCCCACCATATCCGGTTAAATTTATGTGTTCTCCACCCAGCGCGACACACACACACGTACTTAAACAAAGAATAACTCAATTACCAAATGTATGATATTTTCTAGCTGTGCGTAACGCCAAACGTTAAAAATTGTAATACATTTTTAATTGAAAAAAATCGTCCGGATTCAATAATATCTTCCATCTCACTTCATCAAGTTTTTTTAGTGTCGTAATTCAGGGAAAGATTTATCGACGTGTGATTGCGACTTCGAAGTATTCTGCGCTATCAGCGCATAAATGGTAGCTTCCGAAGCTCGATAAGCGAGCGACATACTCCGATTTCGATTCGAGACTTCCGTTTCGATAACGATTCGAAGCGTCCAACGACAAGATATTACGAAAACAACGTGACAAAATCCCGTTTTGTGTGCGTAATGATATGTAAGTGTCGATTGCTCGTACAATACATCATCGCGAATTCTAAAGTAAACGCGTTTTTGGAAATCGCGTTTGTAACACATCTCCGAAGAGATTCAAGGAGAATTTGTTAAAAAAAGTAGAGAGAGAAAATTCGATATTAAAAAAAAACAAAAAAAAACGGACATTGATTAAATTTGATGTCTTCCGCAAGAAATGAATAACAGTTTCTGTAACTTATTTTTGGTTTGCTCCGAGATATTCGACATTTTGTGAATTTTGTCTGAAGATATCGATAACGATACCAAACGTCACGCGCGGTTATCATTTTTTATGTGAGCATTAATAATATTCTACCGTTGAGACAAAATTTATCGATCCGCAAGCAACAACCACCAGAGAGAGCTTCAACCGATGCGAAGTCCTTTGAGAATGATTAATTATGACTGTACAATATATCGCGCGCGCTAATCTCGTTATCACATCACGCAATATATAATGAACGTACCACAATCTTGTGGATATATTTTTATCGCATTTATCATATAGTCAATGATGATGTTATACCTCACTCAGTGAGTTTTTACACCGAGCACAAAATTGCACAAAACGATTCAAAAAATCACAGCTGTTGAAAATAAAATGAAAATCAAAGTAGTAAAATCAAAAGTATACAAAAAAAAAAAAAAAAAAACAGATATACTTGTACAAATATAAGAGAGACGCAGCAGCGGTAACGTCAAAAAATAAAGAGAAGGAAGAAAAGAGCGTCATTATAACCGCGGCACATTGAGATGCAAATACGCGCTTATCTAATGTGATTTACGAGGGAGAAACGTACTCGTACGACCGAGCACAACTAGGAGCAGAGTCCAAATCCGTTCGGGATACGAGCAGATAAGATCTGTCTGCACAGCCGCCGCGCCGTCACAATGGACCAAAGGATTTTATAACGGAGGGTATTCTCTCTCTTTCTCTTTCTCTTTCTCTCTCTCTCTCTCTCCTCCGCGCACTATGCCGAAGAATCATCCATTTTCTATCATGGTCAGCAAGTTTCCTAGATTGGCGTAAAAGAGACGGCTGACCCTGCGAGTTTCCGTGACCCGATGAACATTGCGAATTGCAGAATTGCTCTGAATATCTTTTGTGGATTCTAATTAACGTAAATTCACCAATTTGTTTGAAATAATATTAAAATCGAATTTGCTCAATCCTATAGTTGTTTAAAATATATTAAATTATATATTTTATTGTATGTATTATATTATATAAATTTATTACTACTATTAATTTTCGCTGAGATAAATACGCTCGTTTGATCGTCACGTCAGTTTTCCTAACAATTAACTTCCATTGTTTATCGGAAATACGTTTTCGCGTGGACGTGGCTGTTACTCAGAAATCCCTTTATAGACATTTGCAGCGGATTGAAACGGGAGAAAGGGGAAGAGAAAGGGGGGCGCGTCTCTCTTATGTAATTTAACGAGACAAGCGTGTCCTTTTCATTCGTTCAGAATATAATTGCGCAAATATGAACTATTTAATCGTCAACACATTTATTGCAAAATAACAACGATGATGGCGGCGTCGCGCACGTATTGTCAACGAGCGCAGCTTCGCGACTACCACTTTGGCGCGTATTGACGCGGATTGCAGGCGCAGGGTTAAATCGAGCAGACGGCAGTGGCGTCGCGACGCCGGCTGTGCACGGCCGCGCAACCCCTCACGCTACCCCTTCTTTCCCCTCTTTCCTCTCTCCGCAGCTTTGCCCGGAAGCGTCGGCGCGGCGAGAGAGAGAGAAAGAGAGAGAGAAAGAGAGAGAGAGAGGAGAAGGGTGCGGGAACGCGGGAAGTGGACTCTGGCGAGAGGGAAAATTTATAAAGAGGGGTTGCGCTGGCGGCGGGAGGAATGAGACTACTTGTTGCGCGTCGCGGCGCCCCCGTGACGCCGGCGCTCCCTCCCACTTTCAACTCTCGTGTATTTCTCCGCGTTTCATCGACGACCAAGAACGCCGCCACCACCGCCACCGCCACTGTCGTTGTCGCCGTCGCCGTCGTCGCCAACGACGTCCCGCGATGCCGCCGAACAAAAATAGACGCGTCGTCGCGGCGCAACAGATATCACTTGGTTCGGTATCGAGTAGCGCTCGATTGTTTCGCGCAGCTTGCCTTGATTGCTGGGATAGGCAACCGATTGGCAACAGTGATCTTTCTCGGTTGAAAGAAATCATTGTATCAAAACTTGAAAACTCCACACACAAAAACTCGGAATTAGTTCAAATAACTGTATTTGTTCAAACCGAGAAGGTGTTAAGCGCAGAATGTTTTATCGACATATACGATGAATATACATGATGAATTTATTATGGATATGCAATATGACAAAAACGATAATAAATTATTACATCCCCTAGTCTTGGGTTTAATTATTTATCTAGATATTATAATTTGCGATAAAATAAAAATTTCTATTAATTATTATATTTATAATATTAAGATATCCAATGCGCGTAATCGATATGATAAAAAAACGAATGAATTGAAAATTGTGAAACAATCGATTTTTTTGATATTTTCTTATCGTTTCACTTACTTGTATCTGGTTTCCGATGTGCAGTTGTTGCGCTTGATTGATACTCAGCGTGGACGTACCGGGTCCAGAAGGAGGTCTTGGCGGTGTGGAAGTTGTGTTGAAAGGTCCCTGCGAGCCGGTTTGATTAGGCCCGGCTCCTTGAGATCCTCTAGGCGGTAAAGGATATCCTGGACTTCCGTGATTTGGCATCGAGCCGGGGCTTCCGTATGGCGAATACTGCTGTTTGTAACCAGCGCTGGGACCGAGCATACCGGGCTTGCCACCGGTGGCACTTGGCTGTGGCCTCTTCATGTCCGCCAAACCCGCTGTAGCAAACTGCGTTTGTGAACTGACAAACATGTCGTTTGTCTGTTGATTTTGGAAGGTAGGCGCACTGTTGTTCTTGTGATACGAGCCAGTATTACCAGCCGTCGCTTGGGTTTGTCCGCCGGTTGGACCCGTGCTACCAGGACTACCTAAATAATCAGACGCTCCACCGAACTGAGGAAATTCGGCGTACGGAGATCTTGCTGTCGGACCTCGCGCTGCGGCGGCCGCCGCCGCGGCCGCTGTGGGATTGAATCCACCCAAACCTAATTGCTGACTCTTGTGCTGATGCTGTTCAGCCATTTGCTTGAGTGTCTGAGCAGCAGGACTCTCGGATTTGAAATCTAATCCAGAATAAGGAAGTCGAGCGGGCGAGTATTGGGAAGAACCAAGTGCGCCGGGGCTCGAGTTAGCCGGTATCGTGTTACCATTATTGGCGCTAACGCTGTTGTTGTTAATACTATTGTTCGCCCCGTTGGCGTGTTGCTGATTTTGGGATTGTTGATGAATCGCGTCTTTATCATCTTCGATTTTGATCTGACCGTTGTTCGTGGTCGGCAATCCGTTGTTGTTGGCGGAATTATTTGTATTATTAGCTGCAGCAGCTGCCGCGGCAGCGTTGTTCGCCAATGTATCTACACTCTTGTCTTCAAAATCGAAATCTTTCATAAACTCCGGATGGAAATCTGATATCTCGGAGATGAGATCCTTAAACGCGTCCGACGTAATAATCTCGTCACCGGTATCATCGCCGATTGTAAACTCGGGGAACCCGGGGAAACCAGTGCCGTTTGCCGCCGCGTCCTTTTCCAACGCTGCTGCGCACTGTTCCAGATCAACGAATTCGTTATCGGGCTCCTGCTTGCATTCGACTAGGTTACCGATGTCGACACAGCCCATACCGCCAGTGCCAGCTGCTCCGGCAGCGCCACCACTACCAGGACCGCCGGGACCGCCAGGACCACCGGGACCATTCCCGGGACCGGACTGCGGCCTGGATACCGCAGACGCATTTGTATCCGGACCAGACTGTTTCGGTGATGGCGATGTGTTCAAGAGATCACTTTTCACTGACGCATTTGCCAATGTCTTCACCGTCACGTTCGATATCGTGGTCATCGCTTGTCCCTGTGTATTGTTCGCCGCTGATGTCGTAAATTCCAATTGCTGAACGATCTGCACTTGGAATTTAGTGAGGCCTTCGTTCCCATCAGAACCTGAGGCACCGCTTCCGCCTCCAGGTGCCGGTCCTGTCGAATTTGCGCCGTTTCCCGGCTGATGTTGACCATGGCCGTGATGCGGTGGTCCTCCACCTCCGCCCGGGCCTTGCTGATGCTGATGTGGCGGCTGCGTACACTGCAGCTTAACTTGCGGCTCTCCGAAGCCGCCATCGCTAGTGGCACCACCAGCTGTCTCCAAATCCTCGGCCGTCCTCTTCAAAAATTTCTGTTGCTGGAATAACAAGAGAGAAAGAACCGTGAATTATATCATAAATACCAAAAAAAAAAAGAAACAAACAAAAAAACTCAAGAATATTCATTTGAACAAAGAAATAAAGCTCTCGAAATTATAAACTAACAATAAATCGATCAATAAGAGCCAACGCTGGATGTTCGTGCGAAATAAATATATAAATATGTATATACGTATATTTTTCAGTGTAAAGAAGTGTCGGTAAAAGGTACTGAATTTTGCCCATCATCTGGAAAGTAAAATACGTGTGGATTATTGTTGTTGATACCTCACAAGATATGAAAACAAGGTTTTTAGAACTCGGAACCAATGGGAACTTAATGAGATTTGATACTAAAGATGTAATATTACGATATCAGCGGTTTTTTTTCAAATATCGCGTGTAGTATCTCGCAAACGATCTGACCGACTTTTTTCAAATTCGGTACGGAAGTATTTTGAGAACAGGGTAATATTTCTGTTGAGAGTTTTGAAGACGTTGACTCAGGCTCACGGAAGAGGGAAGTTTTGTGTTATACGTTAGCATATCGCATGTGACGGGTCGATAGAAAACATTTGATAATTATTTACATTAGGGGGACCTCGTCGATTTTGATGACCCTGAAATATGTTGTCAAGGTCAATATTCTGAACAACTTTTTCTTGTATATATAACCGCCGCTCGACTTTAGTTTTCGAGATATTCACAAAAAACTAAGTACACGCTTGTGCTGGGAATAGACTATGCGCGCATTCGCGATTCGTGATTCGCGATTCGTAGCGATGCGCTACGTAGCTACGTAGTAGTCACGCGAATACACGCAAAAAGTGTGTTTGTATAATCGCGAATCACGAATCGGCGCGAATCGCGAATGCGCGCATAGTCTATTCCCAGCATTAGGTGGCAAAGACGAATTATGCCCGTCCTTGCGATATATTTTTGAACTAATGGTATTTCGAACTAATGATATAACAGTGTGAAAGCAGTAATTAATGTAAACATTCAGAAAAAAACATTTACGTACTATGTTCGTGTTGTAAGCGTGTAGGCGGGAGAGGCTTTATCTCTCTCGCAGAAGAAGGCACGTCCCCCGAAAAAAAGCCTACTCAACCCAATCTCTAACATGTTACTGCAATATAGCAACGTACATTACGCATCGTGACATTAATGATATTGTAATAACACAGATTGGATTAGGTTAGGTTAAGTTAGGTTTTTTTTCCTCTCTTCTCCTCTGCAGGGGGCGCAGCCCTCCTTGCCTACACGCTTACAAAACAAAAAAAAAACATGAACAATGAAGTGTAATCGTAAGATAAATGTGCCTAAAGTTTTTTGTGAATATTTCAAAAACTAAAGCCGAGCGGCGGTTATACGTTATAAGGAAATATTGTTTAGAATGTTGACCTTGACAACATATTTCAAGGTCGTCAAAATTGGGTAAGGTCTCTCCTAAAGTAAATAATTACCAAACATTTTTGATACTCCTTGGTCAATTGTGCGCTTTGAACGTGAGTTTCCGCGCCTCTCACTATTTTTGGGATGCTTTTTTAACCTTTTCGCTCCGGGACTGGTCCATATATGGACCAGCAAGAAAAGCGAACGTAATAGATGTTTATAAGGTCAATTTAATGCACTAAATTTAGGAAAAAAATTGAAAAAAATCCTGGTTACTTCTTTGACCTTCAAAATTAACTTTGAAGGGGGGGGTAGCAGGTTATTATTAACTTTTTCAGCTAAAATGCGAGGTCAATTTTAAAGGAAAAATCCCCGGAGCAAAAAGGTTAAGGTGAGTCCTCTTGTCTCTCGCTATTTGGGATAAGAGAGAATGTGATAAAAAAGAACTTAGACTACATGAAAAAAAAAAAAAAACAGCTAATGCCGAGATCGGTTTTTACATCAGAATGTTATATGTCTTAAACCAAAAATTCTATTATATTTGATAATATTTTTGATTTTACACGAAACAACTTTATTTATGGCAAGTAAACATTATTAATTGATAATGATTTCAAGTAAATCGTGTAGATACAAATAGATATTCTTTATCTTTGCGCCGATTTGCTACATCAAATAAATCGATTTTGAGATAAGTCATATTTGCTTCGTAAATATATAATATTTAAATAATTGTGTATTTGTCTTAAATAAATTATTTCCCAAGTACCGTTTGGAAATGTAGTCATTAACGATATATCGGTTTGGCATCTGTGACAAAATACTTTCTCCACTTTCTCCTGGATGCTCGAATCGATTTCCCCAAAAATCAACAGGAATATTACCCTGTCCCCAAAGGGTACTTCCGTACCGAATTTGAAAAAATCGGTCAAACTCTTTGTAAAATACTTTACACGACAATTGAAAACCACCGATATTGTAATATATTATAATACATCTTTATTATCAAATCTCATTAAGTTCCTATTGGTTCCGAGACTTAAAAAACATGCTTTCATATTCTGTAAAGTATTAACAACAATAATTCACATATATTTTACTTCTCGGAAGCAAAAATCGGTACTTTTTACCGACCTTCCTCATACTCATGAATTTTTTAATTGAAATTTCAATTTGTAAGTTCATATAGGATGCTGAATTTGCATCACATATACGAGAAATATCGGTTTTTCTCCCTTATCTAATTTAATAATATTACGAAAAAAAAAAAAACATCTCGGCCAGGAGTCGAACCTGGAATCTCTCAGTTTTCGTGCGATATTTGTTATTTATTCGTCTTTTTTTTTTTCAAAAATATTAGGTAATTCGTATAAACAAATTACTATAAACTAATATTATTTAACTCTCTCCTATAACTTCAACTTATTTTATTGATTGTCTTTTGAATCACTTGGACGTGAAAACCGGAGTGGTCTTTTAAAGACTCGCTTTTTCTGCGTCCTGTAGCTCGACGACTGACTCGACGCGAGGTATTTAACTCGTTGCCAGTGTCGCCGAGCTCGGTTCCATAGCTTTTTCTGCGATTAACCCAGGCAGTTTCTCACCGTACCTGTCAATACTCGTGACGCTTTTTCAGCCGTCTGTCTTTGTACTGATATCGTCTACAAAATAGTCGCGTTCAATCTAGTCATAGTGCTTTGCGGACAGGAAACACATTTATACGTTTCTCAATTTAATATTACTTATATATTGTAATTTACATACTTGAGACATATTTGCATTATACTTGAAAAAAGTATTGAATAAAATTTTTTTATATGCAGACAGATGTTTTATGCGTCTATTAAAGTACTCGAAATATATTTCTGTTATATATTTTTTTCTAGACAGCTAATAATTTTTTTGTTTAATTAATTATAACGATTCTGATCACAAAAGGATCGTGTTATGTGTCTCATAACACATAGTTTTTGATGTATAAATTATCTTGTGATTTTTTTCCATTCTTACTTAATTGAAAAAAAAAACAAAAGTTTTTTTGCTAAGTACGAGAAGCGATTGAACTAGTGCGCACGCACGCACAATTGCGCGCGCGCGCGCTTTTGTGTACACCTACATTTACGTTTGCCATGATTTAAACCGAAATAATCTGTTTTATTTGAAAATCAATAATATATATTATCTTCCATTCTATTCTATTCTACACCGAAAAAATTGTATTCTTGTTTTGAGGATATCCCACTTTACTTTAAGTATATTTTATACTAAAATAGGCGCCAAGAAGAGTTTCCTATTTTAAGAGGAAAATTCTCTAAATAGTAATATTGATAAGAATATATACTGATTAGAATATATATACTAATTAGATTTATACATATATAATCAGTATACGTAATCTATATATCTCTTGCGTTAATAACGATATTTTGTAAGATTTTTTAAATAATTTTATTTTTATCATTTTAAAGTTTCTCATACATATTACCTATGTTTAATTTTTTTACCTATGTTTAATCGTACGGCCCCGCTTGTCCTCCGACCCCCGCGCCTACTCTTCGAATTTCTGACGCGCTGTGCACAAAAAGCCTCTATAGAAAAACATATATATCTCACTGTCGAAAAAGACTATATTCTTAAATTAAAAATATATTCTTAATTTCAGAAGAATATCATCTAAAATCTTTAAAAAGATTTTTTAATTATAAAATCTTCTACTTACAAGAATATAATTTTTTCGATGTAATAAAGAATCAAGCACTCTCTATCTTCTCTCAGCTTTTCCCTTTCTTCTTCCCTTCTTGTCTTGTTTTGTCACTCTATTTCTTCTGATCAAATATCTCGAATAATCTAGCATCTCCCGCAGATTATAAAACGATAAACGATTCTGTCTGTTTCCCCACTAGCAGCATCTGCCCGCTAATCGCAGAGATTCAGCGTGCTCGAAGTAAAAGTGAATGATATTAATTTGTACAAAAAATCGAGTCGTCTTTCTCTCTTACATCCCGCGAAATAGAAATATATTATGTTCTAGTATGTATATATACAAAGAAAAATAAATTCTCTGCGAGAGAGATGCGAGAGACCGTGTTTGATAATTCCGAAAAAAAAATTCCATAAGACAACGCAAGAAGAAGAAACAAACAGAGAAATCCGTTAATTATATTATTACGTTGTACGTTATTCAGTTACTCGGATATACGAAACCCATCACTTGGCAAGCAGCGCGGACTATCTTATCTCGATATTCGATATGTCTTATCTGGACTCATGCAAAACGAACTGTGAATCAAACATTTGTAATTTTGCTCGAAGCAAAATTTATCGTCTCACAGTCTTCAACGTGGACCGAGACAGTAACATTCCGATTGTAAACATTGACTTGCTTTAGAGAAACTTACTTATATTTCCGTTTCTCTTCTCGCTCTTTATCTCCACCAACCAACTTCTTCGCGCGATCGATTTGTTTCCAATCGAGATGCTCAACGACCAGAAATTAATACGCGGTAATGGAAATTCGGGGGGGGGGGAGGGAGGGGGAGGCGAATAGATGGCCGAGAAGGGAGGAAGAAAACTAACCAGTCCGAAGCGCGGAAACACACTGTGT